GTGAGTCATCCCACCTCACACTGATGTGCTGTCAGAAAATAAATCACCCCAGGAGTTTGCTTATAAGGCTGTTTCTGTTGCAGTTTTCCTGACCTTATAGTGGGCGCTCCGTTCTTCTTCAGCCGAGAGGAGGGAGGCGCTGTGTATATTTACACCAACAACAAAAACCACTGTTTGGACTGCAAGAAACCTTTGAGACTGACAGGCAAACCAGAATCCAGGTTTGAACGTTTCAATTTACAGTCAGTGTGCCAAACTGCGTAGTATTTCGCTATTTTAGTTTCGTCCAGTAAATTGAGATACTTTTATCTCTTGTTTTGTATGGTTTGGAACTTAGTCTCTCACTCTTTGGGGAGAAAGGGGATTGAGGCTGTTCCAGAACAGAGTTTAAAGCAAAATGTTTTGACATATAAGAGACAAATTAATGAACAACCAGAGAGAAATATATAACGAGGAATTTTATAATTTGTACTCTTTTCCTATTATTGTTCATGTGATTAAACCAAGAGGAATGAGGTAAGAAAACCATGTAACATATATTGTAAAAAAAAAAAAAAAAATCATGCAAAGTTTTGGTAACAAGACCTCAAGGGAGAGGTCATTTGGTATCTGTAGGCATAAATAGGAAGATAATATTAAAATCAGGTACTAATATCCAGAGTAGCTTATGCGCCTGTAATCCCACTACTTCTAATATTAAGATGGACCTTAAAGAACTAGAGTGTGGAGTTACGAACTGTATTTAGCTGGCTGATGTTGACGTGCAACTATCCACTGGTTAAAGAATACCTTGTGTCACTTCAACAGTTGGTCAATAGTGCACGTAGTGTAAACTTAAACCATGATGTAGTATTAGAGACCTCTACAATGACGACATGAAAATGTAAATAATTGTGTTATGATGTGTAGGTTTGGTTTTGCTATTACGAATCTCGGTGACCTGAATTCTGATGGCTATGAAGACATTGCAGTTGGTGCCCCATATGAAGGAAATGGAGCTGTCTATGTTTACTTGGGATCTGCACAAGGCCTCATTCCTGAACCCTCCCAGGTTTGTACAGTGCTTGTTGTGAAGTGTGTAAATTGAACTTACAGGGAAGATCACATCTGCCCATCTGTATTAATACAAAAAAAAAATACAGAATGGATTTTGATGAAATTTGGTACTGGAGGATCTGAATTAAAAGTTTAGATCAATGTTTTGGAGTTTAAGGATTGCCGAACTAATAACTCCTTTACACTAACTGTTTCAGATCTTGTATGCTGAAGATCTTAGAACAAATGGTATACCAATTACAACATTTGGTTACTCCCTGAGTGGTGGACTTGACTTGGATCAGAATGGGTACCCTGACCTGATGATTGGTGCATATGATGTTGATGCAGTGGTCCTGCTGCGTGCTCGGCCCATCATCAACATTGTGACCAGTGTGGAGCCATCAGCCAATCTACAAAACATTGACCCTAGCCGGATTGGCTGTGCAAAGAATCCATATGCTAACCATACATGGCAAGTTAATATTTTTATCTGAGCTTGTTCTATCTTTTTATTCCATTTTTAATCCATAGAGTGTAATGGACAGAAGTTGATTAATGCAAATGGAACTTCATATTAATGGTGTGATTGCACCGCCTTGGAACGTTTTACTCCATAATTTATTTTAAAATTACCATTGAACTGTTTGGCTTCCATTGATTTTCCCTTATGCATTTTATGAAATCAGATTAATTCTCTTTCATTTCTCAAGTTTTTTTCATAAAATACCTCTCAGATGTTATATTTTCATTATATGTACTCAGATTCAGTTGTGCTAGATAATTTAATTAGAACGTGCCACCAAAACTTGTTTTATTTATTGAAGTTAATGTGTTTCCTTATATGTTTCAACAAAAGCGAGAACTGTAACTTGATTTGGAAGTTTGAATGAAATGTATTCTTTCTTTTAACCCACATATACTCAACAAAGAGTGAATTTTCTGTGTTTTTGTAGAACAGAGTTCTACCGCTTGATTGCCAATCCTGTGTCACTGATGTCACCGTCCAGGCCCTTCCATGGACTTCACGTATAATTTTTTTTCTGCAGTGCTATTGTAATGATTTTACTATCATGTATTAACAGAATTACTAATTGTGCGTATGTCTACAGAGCAGTAAATTACAAAATTTCTGTTGCTTCGAAATACTTGCTGTATGGTCCATGTTCCCCCCCCCCCCCAT